CCTCAGGAGGATGCAGCCCATGAATTTGGACACGACCATATTGTGCAATAAATTGTTCTGCTCGGTTAGTCTTTACATGGGATTCGTTAACAGTGACTAACACTTGAAATGTTCCCAATCTAAAAACGAAATCCACAGTATATAATTTCCAGCGTTACGCTGTTACTAAAAACCCTTTCTTTTAAATCAGAACGAAAAGCCATATTTTTTCATGTTCTGGTCAGGAACAAAACACAATCCAAGGTTATGAGACTAAGTGCATAAATATTCCATCTCTAGCTAAATTGAGTGGCTGCGTGTCTTTGCACTGACCCCTCCTCACCATTCATACCACAGCATATTTATCACAATCAATCTGTCAATTAGCTTCTGAGGCACCCAGCCGTGACAGGCACTTACTGTAAAAAATGAGTACAAATTGATAAGAAAACAGTGCATGATGGTCTTATGAAAACTAATGGTGTGTCTGCCAGCTGAGAGGCATTCGAGAACTTATTCCACCAGCGTCGCCTTTAGCTCCCCACCCTCGAGTCCCACCAAAAAAAGCTGCATTTCTCTTTTCTCTCTCTCCAGCTGTGCCCTATCACTCTCCTGTAAGGCTGACTCCACAGCCAGCTGTCAGTCTGTCATTTATGGCAGGTATCATGAAACATTGATGTAACGGCTGTGGTAACACGTCCCAAAGCCCTAAATCTCTGCTGCAATAAGGGAGCAGCGCTGCGTCATACCATATGCACGCACTTCTGCTCTGGGCTGTTCTAATAATAAATTTGAAAGAACACAGAAGGAATCTTCATAAATCTGATTTCCGAGGGCACGCTAAATCATCCCCACGCCTCTCTCCACTTTCTAATGCAGTTAAAACTTTAGAAAAAAATGAAGCTTCTCGTCTGTTTTCTCAGGCATTTTTTGATCATTTTGATCATTCTTCATACTCTTCAAATGGGCAGCCACGTTGTCGCTGAAGCATTGATCTCCTGTGATCGTAATCAGACAGCCAGTTTTGATGTTGGCTAGACCTTGACAGAAACTTTTTTTTTATTCATGAAAAGGAAAACACACAGTCAGGAATCCTGAACAGAGCGGAGCTGTAGATGGAAGCGGCACAGGCTCGGGTCACGACGCGAGAGAGCACGCATTTACAGACACCAGCAATTTGCTGTTCTACTCACGTCATGATGAGAGTCTCCTCCCCCGGCTCTCCGAGCACCCCGTCCACAAACAAGGGCGTGTTGGTGAAGCTGTATTTGTTCCACTGCCGTCCTTCGTCGAAGCTCAACCTGGGAACACAAACAGCTGCTTCACGAGGGGCCGCTGCTAATCCCTCAACTGTGTGCGCACACTAATGACCCTGAGAGTTGTCTAACGACTTTATTTTATATTCCGCGCAGGGCTGAAGGTTCTCCGCTCGGAGAGAACGCCGATCATTACAGTCTCGAACCCAGAAAGCCGAATGACAATCATCCGAGGTTTTCTAAACAGTCGTACCGTCCCTTCGCTCCAAGACAAACTCGTTTGCCTTTACTTGACTAACTTAGGACTTGCAGTTCCCTCAGAGAAAATGAGTCATGCTGTGACAAATGGCGTCTCTGTCATAATGACTCACCACAGGTGTCGGATGGGAAGCGGAGTGTGTCTTATTGCCACCAAGGCCCCTCCTTGGTCAAGATACAGCACTGCGTACTCCTCGTCAAAAATCTGCTGGGACAAAAACGCTTGATGTACTTTTACTTGTCTACACATTTGCACACATATGCCCTGTCATTTTTCACAACAGACACACACACACATGCAAATCATGGCCCTGCTTTGCTACATTACCTTCCAAATAATTATTTTTCATTGCTGTCTTTAATTAGAAACAAGCCCCATAAACTGAAGTGAATCGAGTGATGTAGAGGCCGTCTAATGTGCGGTTTATGCAGCCAATGAATTCAGCCGGTCTATAGAATTAATATGATTGGTGACCTTAAAAAAAAGCTGGCTGCTGTCTGAGGACTTATATTCTAAACTTGAGGATAGGCGACGAGCGAGGAGGAGGATGTTTTCAGCGAGAGGACGGGAGGTCAGTCGGTTCATCGTGCTCCATATGGCGAGCGGCTGTTTGTTCGAGATTTAACGGCGCACATCGTTGGAAAAATTAATTATCAGACATGAGGCTGTAATATTAATGAATATAACATATTTGCTGCACTGCACGATTGTGTAATTGCAGGAAGTTGAGCTTCGCCAACAGCAGTGACTTGGCAAACTTTGTGACTCTTAAATTAAAATTGGTTTGTGCTTGGAAACAAGAACAACTGATCTGATTAGAACGTCGCGGCGCCCGAATAGAAGCCGTGGGGTTTGTTTCTGAACAATGATGTTGATTTTTTAATTGGTGTTATTTATATGTGGATGAAAATTTAAGGGGTTTTTCGGGCTCTTACCTTTTCTGATGAGGTATTTGATTATTTGTTTGACAAACTTTTAAAGTCAATTTCAAGATTTTGACATTTTTAAAGGACTTTTTACTGTTTTGTTTCATTTCTTCATAATCTGCATCCTTGTCTTGATGTTCTTGGGTTCAGTATGAGTATAAAATATGAGCTCAGGAGTCAATTCATGCTTAGTCAAAGGAGCTTGCAAAGAAAAGCGTCTGGACTTCTTTAAGTTACTTGAAGACGTTTCACCTCTCATCCGAGAAGCTTCTTGACCCAGGATGTGAGTGACATTTTGGACAGAGAGGACAGATGGTTTGAAAGAGGAGTGAAAGAAGCATCTATGTTCACTGTGAGCGACCATCTTTGAACAGAGGCGGTGGTTTACGACACCAACTCTCTGCCATCTATAATCCAGTTTTGAGATCCTTCCCAGACGCCTTAACGCCCACTCACATCCTGGGCCATCTGACCTCAGGAATTCGCATGATAAGGTGGGGCCACGTCACAAAGAGCTCACCCGAAACTCTGGCTGATTGGGACCCACACCCAGTTTCACACCTTGGCTCAGGCGATTAGAGGATCATCAGGGGGTCCTTTTGTCCCTCTGTGGGGGGAAACTCCCACTAGGTTTAAATCTGGGACTCTCCACCATTTGACCTTAGAACTGAAGAAGCTTCTCGGATGAAGGTGAAACGTCTTCAAGCAACTTAAAGAAGTCCAGACGCTTTTCTTTGCAAGCTCCTTTGACTACGATGACCTGGATGACTGAGAACCTTCACAGACATTCATGCTTAGTGTTGGATAAATGTTCAGCCTTGGTGGATGAATGCAGTCGTTTCTTATTTTTATTTTACTAATGGTGCTTATAGAGTTACTCTAACTTTGCACTCTCCACCTCCAATGTTAAGTTTTCCATAAAACAAAACCTAATCACCTCATACTCATCACTGCACATTGGTTTGTTTACATGTGTGAGGCTTTTTTAAATGAAACTCAGAAGCTAAATGGGATGGCGGATAACCACATGGATGATTATGATCAGGGCTGCAGGTCATTTCAGACCGACAGCCAGCCATGTTTACTGGAACTGGAGTCCACAGACAAGCGAAACCAAACAGAAGAAGACAGGCAGATGTTCTAATGCGATACACAACGTTCAATGCTCAGGTCCCAACTGCTCACTTGAAGCCAAGCTTGAAATCCATGTTGGTGAATGAAAGTCAGCTCTGGAAATACTTTCATATACACTGTGAGCCGCCTTCCTACACATTGTTTTCACCTTCCCAGAAATCACCCAAGAGAAAAATACAAAGACCAAACAGTCAGTTCTCCAGTGGGTTGGTAAGCCACACAGACACACAGTGTATGGTAAGTGGATCAGCCTGCAACTGTCCTCTATATTTCTGTATTTATCCACCGACATAAAACCACCTCTGGGGGGTAAATAAAGCCAATGCACAAGTACCCAACACTCAAGTCACTGAACTGGGCCTCTCCACTGTTTTTGTGTTCTTGACAAATAACATGGCGCAGTGCATCCAAGAAGTGAACATTGGAATATTCTTTTTGTTGTTACCTGACACTGATTATCAGATATTTGTGTCTCTGAGATTCCAAAACTAGTGAAGGACACGTTGGCTCGACTTTCATACATCTTTTATATAAAAGTATATGCTAACAGAAAAACTTTAAAATAATTTTAATGAATTTATGAATATTTTTA